CGGGAAAGCGTAACAGACAGACAGACAGACAGACAGACAGACAGACAGACAGACAGACAGACAGAGTTACTTTCGCATTTATAATATTAGTTGGGACTAGTTGGGATATGACGTACTCTAGCATTTACTACGTAAAGTGTACCCTACATCTTCACGCCTAAACCGCGGAATCGATTTTAAAAATTTGGTAAAGAAATAGTTTGAGTCCCAGGCAGAAACATAGGATAGTTTAGAGATATTTAGAACGCGCGCGATAAAGTTTTTCTGTGACAGACAAGTGAAGCCGCGGACAAAAACTAGTTTAAAGTAAATATTCTCTGCTTACTTAGGGGCCATCCATAAAGTACGTCACACGAATTTCATGATTTTTTGACCCCCCCTCCGTCCTTGTCACAGGTGGTCACATTTCTGAGACCCCCCCCTCCCTAGTGTGACGTCACATGTTTTGCAATTTCACATAGAAAAATTATTAAATTAACAGCAGTTCCGAAATTAGTTTTATTTCCATTTAAATTAAGTACTTCTTTTATGAAATCAACATTATATCAAATATTTGAAACAATTGAAATGTGATGTCACGAAACTTAGGACCCCTCCCACCCCTTGTCACACCATGTCACACTTTGTCAACCCCCTCCCCCCCTCTTTACGTGTGACGTACTTTATGCCGCGGCTTCGCCCGCGTGGAATTTTGTCTGTCACAGAAAAACTTTATCGCGCGCGTCCCTGTTTCAAAAACCGGGATAAAAACTATCCTATGTTCTTTCCCGGGACTCAAACTATCTCTATGCCAAATTTCATCAAAATCGGTTGCGAGGTTTAAGCGGGAAAGCGTAACAGACAGACAGACAGACAGACAGACAGACAGACAGACAGACAGACAGACAGACAGACAGAGTTACTTTCGCATTTATAATATTAGTTGGGATATGACGTACTCTAGCATTTACTACGTACAGTGTACCCTACATCTTCCCGAATCGATTTTAAAAATTTGGTAAAGAAATAGTTTGAGTCCCAGGCAGAAACATAGGATAGTTTAGAGATATTTAGAACGCGCGCGATAAAGTTTTTCTGTGACAGACAAGTGAAGCCGCGGACAAAAACTAGTTTAAAGTAAATATTCTCTGCTTACTTATCGGGGCCTGCTAAGACTTATTTTGTGAAGGCGACTCTATCTTAATCATAGAAAGAAAGAAGAATGAAAAAAGTATTTATTCGATGCAAGTAGGTAGGTACAGTCGCGGAATGAAAAGGTTCGTCACCTTAGTGTCCGTTTTCGCTTGCACCAAAGAGTCAAACCTGCCAACATAACAGTGCAAGAAACAGTGCTGCTAACATTTAAATAAATATGACGTTTGCTAACGAATAAGGTTTTGCTTGTTTATTTTTCTATCCCATCAGTGCAATGCAATGATGACATTGACCAATTGACAATAGTTTTTTTTATTTAATAGAAATAATAATGGCAGGTTGAACCAACAAGAAGGTTTTAGTTTATCAATCATAATAATCTTCTTGACAAGATAAATCGTCAAACAACTTTGATCCCCCCCCTCCCTAGTGTGACGTCACATGTTTTGCAATTTCACATAGAAAAATTATTAAATTAACAGCAGTTCCGAAATTAGTTTTATTTCCATTTAAATTAAGTACTTCTTTTATGAAATCAACATTATATCAAATATTTGAAACAATTGAAATGTGATGTCACGAAACTTAGGACCCCTCCCACCCCTTGTCACACCATGTCACACTTTGTCAACCCCCTCCCCCCCTCTTTACGTGTGACGTACTTTATGGATGACCCCTTATCGGGGCCTGCTAAGACTTATTTTGTGAAGGCGACTCTATCTTAATCATAGAAAGAAAGAAGAATGAAAAAAGTATTTATTCGATGCAAGTAGGTACATACTCGTAGCTATATTACGAACATGGTAAACCGAAGTTCTAGCAGGTAAGTTAGAGAGTTCATCAATTGAGTCTTACCCAAGTCAATGAGTCACAAATGTATACATTACTATACATACTTTATTTGTATTGAACTCTGTATTTTTTTATTACTAATATGGATAGAGTCCTTTTATCTGAATTTCAGGACAAGATTATGTATAAGTACTTACTCGTACCATCATCACAGCACAAATAAATAATATTAGTAGATACCTATTATCATATTAAATCTGTACTTATATTATCGTAAAATTATTGGAATATTTCAGTAAAAAATTACTGTCATGGATCAAAGGTCAATAAATATTTATTAAATGACATGATTTTATAATAATATTAAAAGCCAATAAAAATATGTAGGTAGGTAATATTTTCAAATCTATGACACAATTAATGATTATTATAATTGAATATCAACTGATAAACTTTTTGAAATTCCTTACCAATATTTGTATTTTGTTGATAGCGTTCCCCAAATCCTTTGAGCAAATCAGCCGTCTGCATCACACTAAATCTTCGGGAATCAAACTCGGAACTGTAAGTAATCATCTGGGGGTCGTCAAACAATTCGTCATTCATTGCGTCTCTCTGTGAAAGGAAGAACGGACTGCATGCGAAATGAACGACTTCCTCAGTGTAGTTAGGAAAGTGCTCTACGCCCCGACTCGTGCGCACAAGGTCAATCATTTGCATTGGAAATAGAAAAGTAAACTTCAGACAGAGAAAATCATTTCCCTTTTTTAAAGTAAATCTATGTAATCATGTTTATATAACTAAATATTCTTTTAATTATTTATGATCATCATATTAGTCTCGTACACTAATGAACGTGACTCTACCATTGGAAACACTGGCTTCCAGCAAGATAGCCACGCCGTCCTGTCCCTTTTAATGTTTTTTTAATATTTATAGCATCGGATTTCAGTTTGACACACGCTGTATAAATTATACCCTATTACTCATTTTTATACAATGATTAATTAATTAAATATTAATTACTTAACTAAACAATATGATGACTGTAAATACGTCTCTCGTTGTCATATTGAAAACGAACGTGATTGATCTTTATTTCCTATCCCTTCTTGTTATTATTTTATACTCGTATTAGAAGTTTTCAAATAAAAGGGAAAAGTGTGTGAGAAAAAGTCATCATCTTTAGAAAAAAATCTCAAAAAGTATCTCTCATAAACATCGCCAAAAGAATTTATCAATTAGTTTTTTAGTTGACCAAAGCGGGACAACTCAATGAATCCATTGAGTGAGTTTATAGAGCCAATTATTTTCTAGAAACCACTGGACAAGCGTTCTCCTGTCTGAGGGAGCAATCATAGTGATATACACATCACAGCGTTGAATAGAGATCTGTGATTGGTTCGTGTCGCCCTGTGCGTCCACGCGCACTGTGAGACCTTATAGTAATGTTTGTGAATACGGGCGTTAGTCTCCTACGTGATAGGTACATGTTATTTTTAGCGATATTACAGAGTAGATAATAGTTACCATTCATTAGAACGTGACTGAACTCCTGCTTATCTTTTTTGATATCTTTTAGATAGATAAAAGACACAAATTATGTTGACAATCTATTTATAGATTTCGCAATTGATTAAGTTTTGACAGCTGACTCGGCGCAGTGGTTGGGAACTCAGCTAACTGACAGTTAGCCAGAAGTCGCAGGTTTGATTCCCACAAATATTTGTATCCGTTTTACCTAGTAAGTTACCAAAGCATACATAAGTGTAGTTAAGTTTAGTTGAAACTGGCGCTATAAAATTAATTTAAGTTACCCTGAAAAACCGAATCAAGAGCTATGAGAAAAATTTACACATTTAATTCATTTACCAAAGTTTATTTTGTTTTTTACTATTGAGGCATTTTGATTTCCAGGATGAGAACCCGTGACTTTAGAATAAACCAGTAGATTAAATTTATAATAATATTTCACGTATTTAAGCGTTATGAATCCTAAGAATATTAATATTTTTCCTCAAAGAGTGGGCAGTAGATATTATATTGTGCTGTTATTGCTGCATAAACAAAACTGGAGCAATGTTAGAATAAATAAAAAATTCAATGCCTAGTTTTTTTAACGCAATTTATTTTATTAAGCAGCATAAACAAGTATTTAGTTTATATTTATTTTGGCCATTAATGGCTAAACACGTTTTTTGTTTTGAATGCTAATGGGGTCACGTCTTCTTACTTTTTATTTTAATGTAGTTAGGTTAGTAACATTACCTTGGTCGTGTTAAGGTACACGTAAGGACTTCGCAGAATTTATAAGATTTTAGGGAAAAGGAGAGCTTGCTCTTTGCTTGAATTTGTGCATTAATATTAAAACACTATTTTTATTCTTTAATTATTTTAGTTTTTCATTTCTTTTTGAGGCTTATAACTTTCAAAAAGTACTTTTAGAAATTGTTATTTAGTGAAATGATGACATGATGAAAATCAATGCTGATTTCATTTTTTAATTTCAATCTTCAAGATGCACTGAAGGAGGCAATAAGATTTGAACTGCAGGTTTAAATTAAAGGAGACGTCCAATTAATATTAATAGTCTGGGAAACGTGTGCTCTATTTGTTGTTCCTATGTCTATGTCTACAGATCAGTCTACGACTTTATTGATCATTTAGTTTCATTCACAAGCCGGTCTGCGGCTGCCTTCAGTGGAATATTTCGGACCTTGAATAATAATAGACTAAGAGCTATGGTGAACGCCAGACCTACGTTATTTTATAATACCTGAAAGTTTGTCAGCGTATGCTCCTAATATAGGTTAAAATGTTGGTGCATTATGAAGTTTGGCTTTGGCAGCTATCCTAAAAAATTGTCTGGCAACGAGTTGGGACAGTCAAAACTATCTGGCTGATGAGGAAACAACTTCTCATCATTGCTCAAACTTCATGATGCACCAATATTCAAACCTTTATTGGGAGCATACGGTGACAAACTTTCAGCTTTTATAAAAAGACGTAGGTCTGGCGTTCACTAGCTCTTAGTCTATAACCCAATTCGTTTTCCGAACATCAGATCGCAACACAGACAGGCTGTTTAGTTCGACTGTCTTTGCGTCTCGCGCGGACGCGTCGAAAGCGCGCGAAACGCGTTCCCGCGCTCGAAGTTCAAGACAAGTTTTTTTTTTCAAGTTGCAGATTGTTTTTTGTAAGTATCTGTGATGCCAGTGTTATTACACGTATTTAAAAAAAAGTATTTGAAACTTCTGAACTGAAATAAGACTGAAGAGGTGAGATTTCGAGATAAACATGAAACCATTTTAAACAAAAAAATCATATGAATCGAAAATTTAAGATTTAATGGGTAATTTTATTGGATGCTATAGCTCATTTCAATATTTTCAAAAACTTTTAATCTCATATTATTAAATTTTTTTTTACGAATTCTATAACAACAAACACGTTATTATGATAGGTGAATAATTAAAATAAAGAAATAGTTATTTATAACATAATAAGTAAAAAACAATGAAACCACTCTTAATAAATATTGCTAACAAACTTCTGAACTTCCGGATCCGGACCGATACTCTTAAGAAGAATAGATAAGTAATTATTAACTTTAATTTTTAGCTTACATAATTATTATCATATCTGTTTTTATTAATTGCAAATTTCATTTGTGCTATGTAATGGAAAAAAAAATACAAATAAGTAGTAGAACCTTTTTGGAAAAATACCTATGATAGTTTGATTTGTTAGTTTTGTATTTTTTCTATTTATGTGCCAATTATTATGGTTTTCTGTTTGGTATAGCGCTTACTCCACTTGCGTGATGACCTTTAGACAGACACAGATTAGTACAAAATAGTTACTATCCTTTAGAATAGATAAAATTATTGAATTTCAAAACGAATTTAAAATTATTTATTGAAGAACCATCTCTGAAAATTTGAAAAATTACCGATTTTTTTTTTAATTTTCGATAAAACTTAGATAAAATCATTAGCATTTCGTCAAGTTACTGGACTATCTTAGACAATTTTCTACTTTTCCATCGTATCCGACTGTAATAAAGATTCAACCTTTTTCAGATTAAACAATGGCGTCAACAAGAGATAAGAATGGCGTGAATCAAAACCTGATGACGAAAGCTCCATGGTAAGTACTCAATTCAAATCAAATCAAATCGAATCTCTTACGGTTTGATATTTATGAACTATAATATAATAAACTTAGTTACCTATTTATTAAGATCACTCACACTTCATGTTCTAAGTAAGTCGGGCCTTACAAAGAGCTCCTTTTTAACGGGTAATAAGCAAATTGACTCTTAACACTATAAATACTTTATTTATTTTCAAAATTTTCCCCATAATAAAGAAAGTCCACGATAGCTGTTATATTGACGAAGTGAGAGGCCTGCATTTTGCAATGTCAAGGTCAGCCCGGTGCGGCCGGTTTGGTAACATACATATTCATATTTACTATGTATGTCATTTAACGTACCTACGTAGTAAGTAGCGTATTTGATTACCACACGTCCGAAGTGGAAGTACTCGTAGGTAGTCAAAATTACATTATTAAGGGTCCCGTGCCTCAAAAGAAAGAAATTAACGGAACATAGGATTTTTTTAGGACTACTATTCCGGAGGTAGCGGGTTCGATTCCCGCACAGTACAAACATTTGTGTGCATGAACATATTTGTTTGTATTGGACTGGGTGTTTTATATGTGTACCTAATAAGTATGTATTTACAAAAAAAAGTATTATATCCTTTGTCTAGTACCCATAGTATAAGCTTGCTTAGTTGGGACTAGAAGCGCAGTGTAAAATGTCCAAGGATATTTATTTATTATTTATTTTATTTGTTGTCAATCTGTCAAAGACCCTTTATCTCGGGAACGCGTTGATGCAGTTGAGGTGTCAAGTTAAAATTAAATCATACACTCCTAGGTCTATAGACCCTTGAAGCTGTAAAAAAATCAAACTTCAAAACTAATGTCATCGGTGAAGGGGTCGGAGTGGCCGACTCGAGATCCGAGGAACACGGGTTCGAATCCCACCGCCGCCGCTTGACTATTGTGGTGAGCCCACTCGTAACACAAGCTCATTTAGCTTAACACGAGGAGCTAACGGGACTATTAGTAATTTGTGTAATACAAATTGCTAATAATTAAAAAAAAATAATGTGAAAACGGAACCCTGGGTGTCCGAGACCGCACTTGGTCGGTTTTTAAATGAAAAAACTTACGTACGTACATAAACATGTTATAAACCTCATAAACGAGACGTGTTTTATAAATCTAAATGCTTGGGTACCTGCCGAAGTTACGTTACGATCTCACATAAAGTTTTTATAAAAAAAACTAGTGTTAAGGAAAAGAACTTCTCGTTTTCCTGACAAACTGGTTCGTCCCTTGCTCAAAGTGCTGGCAACCTTGCCTTTGTCCGAGACCGGGTTGTTTCCACTCTGTGTCGTTTTATTTTATACATTTTGAGGCTAACAATAAGGCTGGGTTGCACCATCTTACTTTAATTTTAGCAAACGTAAAAATGTGTCAAACTCCATACAAAAAACACCGGTTGTTCAATGAAAATCAAATCACGTTTATCGCCACTAGGCTTCCCCAAATAAAACGACACTAGACTGTATAGTGATTTGAAACAACATACAAAAATAACCCTCCTTCTGGCGCAGTCGGGTATAAGCGATGTTACTAAACAAAGGAATCGCTTAGTTTTTAAAACTATTTGTCTACTTCGTTTATGATATTATCAAAATTATCATAAAACAATGGTTACTATTTTGACAGTGGGCATTGTTACGATCTTATAAGTCTGGATATAACTTTTTAGGGTTCCGTAGTCCTGATAATTTTCTCATCTTCTACCCCGTCGAGTGGGGTATCGTTGGATACCTAGGTCTTTTAAAATGGTTTAGGGGTTTCTAAGACTATTTTTCCATTTAGGGATCTGTTTGCAAATTATTAAAGTTCAAAGTGCCAATTTTTGTTCGAGTAGGGCGTCGTCGTCGTCCCCGTCAAAATTCCTTAGAAGAAAATATTAAAAGTGACTTTAGATGAAGTAATTGCTTGCTTCTGAAATATATTGTGTTAACGACGGACAACTACGGAACCCTACACTGCGCGTACCACGACACGCACTTGGCCAATTTTTATTTAATTAATGAGTACCTCTCCCAAACTCAACATTGAGGCCAGCCGGCCTAAATCATATAAGTAAATCGTGTTGGTTCCAACCTATTTTGTTGGTGCTAAATGAAACTAAGTACATACCTAGTAAAACGCAGTTATAAAGCATAATAATACGTCCCAGGCATAGGTCAACCACCGGATGACGCGTCGGTCTCCTGAATAATTAAAATCAATTGATTACAGGCGGCGCGTATAACTGTGAAACAATGCACATGTTTATTTATTATTACTAGCTTTCCGCCCGCGGCTTCGCCCGCGTGGAATTTCGTCTGTCACAGAAAAACAATATCGCGCGCGTATTTGCTCACCGTTTAGACCTACAGTCCTATCAACTTAAGCTGAGAATTGCATTTGTGTGAGTGATCGCCAAAAGTACCGTTAGTAAAACACATACAAATAAAATTAATGTTTTATCAACCCTTTACACACGAGAATAAAAAAGTGTCAATATTTTAATAAAACTTTACTTAGGGGTTATTTTAGAGTTTAAATAAGATTAGAAAAATACTTTAAAAAATTTTGAATTTTAAGTTTTCCTGAAAGTATGCCCTCACGATAGTGAGGCTTCGGTATAATTTGTTAGTCTCACGATAGTGAGTGTTATACTATTTAGTTAATTTATTTAATGAAAACTACTAATTTATGAGCACATAAGTATTCATTTGGTAAGAGACCCCTATAAGTAAAGAGTAAGCTATAATTTAACAAGCAATTAAACCTCTTTTAGCAAATTGTCTTACAAAAATCGAATTAATTAAAAAATATCCACCTTTTGACAAACTTGCAAAGTAAAAACCTTTATTAGTTTGTTTGGTATCAATATGAGGTCCGAGATGATTATTAAGAGATTGTAAAATAGAACAAAATTACTTTATAATTAATAAATAAAGAAATAAATGTCATTTTTATGGCTTAAGATGATATGACTGGAAACAGCTTTTTTGCGAGAAAGGCACAGGTAAACATCTCACTTAGCACATTTAATTTTTGACCAGCTAGAACTTCCTTCCAACATGTAACACCTCGGTGCTTTTTAGCCAGGTAATCGTTCTCATCTGTGTTATCATTTGCCTTCTGACCTTTAAAGTCTANAGCTTAAGTTGAGAGGACTGTACCCTGGACTACGACAAACATTTTAAAACCAAAATCAGCTCAATCGGCCCAGCCGTTCTCGAGTTTTAATCAGACTAACGAACATCAATTCATTTTTATTTTATAGAAGATTACTAGCTTTCCGCCCGCGGCTTCGCCCGCGTGGAGTTTTGTCTGTCACAGAAAAACTTTATCGCGCGCGTCCCTGTTTAAAATACCGGGATAAAAACTATCCTATTTCCTTTCCCGGGATTTAAACTATCTCTATGCTAAATTTCATCAAAATCTATTCAGTGGTTTAGGCGTGAAAGCAAGACAGATAGACAGACAGAGTTACTTTCGTATTTTTATAATATTAGTATCTTAGACTAGCGGCCGCCCGCGACTTCGTACGCGTGGATCCCGTTTTACCCCCTTCATCTATCTTACGCGGTTTAGATTTTTTCATCCAAATGTTTTTTCCCGCTAACTCCCGTTCCCGTGTGAATTTTGCAATATCCTGTTGTAACTAAGCTTTAAGTTTACTAAGATACCTGCATGCCAAATTTCAAGCGTCTAACTTAAGTGGTTTAGATTTTTTCATACAAAAGGATTTTCCCGCTAATTCCCGTTCCCGTGGGAATTCCTAAGTATACTATAACCTGCCCAGGAGTATGAAGAATAATTGTACCAAGTTTCGTAAAAATCCGTCGAGTAGTTTTTGTTTCTATAAGGAACATACAGACAGACAGACAGACAAAAATTTTACTGATTGCATTTTTGGCATCAGTATCGATCACTAATCACCCCCTGATAGTTATTTTGAAAATATGTTTCATGTACAGAATTGACCTCTCTACAGATTTGTTATAAGTAATACCTATGTCGTCAGGATAACAGATAAAACATTTTTGTTGGAGAATAACGTCTATTAGCACCTCGTTATGATGATAGAGCTAAACTCTATTTGATGTAAGTACTGTAGAACCTTCCTAAAAATTAGCAACTTTTTTAAAAATAAAGGACAACGACCAAAAATGTATGGAGTGTGGTCCAAATTTCCACCACTAACGAGACCTATGTAGTAAAATAGTCTACTAAATACTGATTCATTATAACCAAACCGCAATCAAAAATATGCTGTCAGTAAAAAGTTATGACTGAATGAAAAGTCTGTTTTTTACCTTTTCATCCGAAAATAATGTTCATGATATCATTCTATCCATTGCACATTTTGGAGTAATCTACGCATGTTATGTCATGTCGCATGTGGCGCGGGGTTATAGATGAACTTTATTAGATATTATACTAGTTGTGCCTACGACTTTGTACGCGTGAGAATTGTTAGAATAATGTTTCCCATTTTTACGACATTTGTCTTTACTGCTCCGCCCCTATTTGGTTGTTGGGTGATGTTATTTATCTTAAAACCATCCTTGATAAATGGGCTATCTATAACAAAAATAATTTTTCAAATCAGACCAGTAGTTCCAGAGATTAGCGCGTAAACTACTACATTTTTCAAACAGTCATAACTTTTTACTGACAGCTTATTTTTTTTTCGTCCCATACTGAATGTTAATCTCTATTTAATGGACTATAAGCCAATATAGGTCTTATTGGTGGTGGACATTTGGACCACTTTTGGTCATTGTCCTTTGTGATTAGGTCTATTTCCCTCTATAGAAGTTTCTAGAGAAATCAATTAGTTATTAGTTAGTAACATACTCGTGATTTGTTGTTTTTACAGTCATGTAAACTTATCAATGAGTTCAGTGACCTATCCGAATTGTGATTAGGCTCGCCAACGCTTCCTGTTCAATACAAAATATATATTTCTCATACAAAACTGGCGATAACGTTATCACACA